GGACGAAAGCTCAGCACGTTTTCACCCGAAACGAGGGAGGAAGTCTTGTGGACTGCGTCAAAATGAATATATCGTATAAAAGCCAAACTGCTTCAGTACAACGAGATTCATCCGTCTTCATATGGTGAGATCGACCAACGAATCCGTTCTTCAATCACTTTCCTGCGAACTGAAAGTCCCCTCTAATAATATTATCTCAAGAGATTCATCGAAACCCAGTTTCTCTTCATATCTAAATATGTAACCGACGACTATAAAGGCTTGGACAATATAGTAAAATATGTGATCAATAGGTAAAATAATTAAAATCCTATTTATACTATTATGCTGATTAAAATTTTTCACAGATAAAGCATATATAACAAGGGACTGAAGCAAAGGGTAAATTCCCATAATACCTACTATGTTCAGAACGATGTACTTTCTGAGTTTGTAGGCGATCCAAGGCTTAATATCTAGGTGAGCAAGGTTTCAATAAAAAAAATCATAAGAATAGAAGCTGTTTATCTAATAAATATAGCGGCGTAGTAACTGGACGATGAAAATGCTTAAAGGATCAGAGCTGAACTTTAGTTACTAGGACTTGGCTGCAGAATACGTCCTTTCAAAAATAAATTTAATCTGATGTTTTGTTTTGTATAAAAAAATGAAATATGCATGCTATCCCTATGTTCTTTTAATTAGATGTTCTAATAAAAATACCAAATCTGGTGATAAATAATCCAATCAAACAGTGACTATAGGAAAACTTGTGGAGAAACGAAGCCATTAGCTTCACCTCTGATGTAGTTATCTAATTTGCGTCGGAAATTTTTAATTTAATGTACTTTTATTATTAAGGGTTGAAAAAAATATTCGTATATGGCTTGTAAAGTCTTTATATCTCTAGCGCTACTTCGCGCATCTTCGAATCCTATTCGGTAATGGTATACCCTTACTTCCTCTTTAATTCTCACAGTTAGTTTTGGTCATAGGAGACTTCCACATACCTGACAGAAAGCATTCTTTGCATCCAACCTTTAAAAATCTCCTTGCTCCTGGTAAGATCAAGCATATCTTGTGCACGGGGAATTTAACCTCGAGAAGTGTTTATGACTATCTCAGAATTATTTGTTGCGATGTACATGTTGTAAAGGGCGACTTTGATGAGGCAAATTTTAATTCTTTATGTTATGCTTTAGGGCCTTGATTTCCCTGAAACTAAAGTAATGACGGTCGGGAAGTTCAAAATTGGTCTAACACACGGTCACCAGATAATACCTTGGGGAGACAGGGATAGTCTTGCGATATTTCAAAGACAACTAGATGTTGACATTCTTATTTATGGACATACTCACCGGTTTGAGACTTTTGAACACGATGGCAACTTTTTTATTAACCCTGGCTCCGCAACTGGGGCATCTAGCGCACTTGAAAGGCAAGCCTATTGTAAAATGCAGCAATACTTATATTTATGTTGATCTTCAGCTTATTATTCTATTTATTATTTTTAAGCAAAAAACGCTAATCCACTTAAGTTTATACCTATTTTAGCAGCCATAGGCCCTCATTTGTGCTGCTGGACATTCAAGACTCTGTGATTGAGCTATACGTATATCGACTTTTTGGAAGCGAGCATAAAGTCGAGAGGATCGAATTTCGAAGGTCCTAATTTTTTTTACAATTATCTCTGATTTTTTTTACAATTCTCTGCTGATTTGAATTTTTTGAATGAATATAAACTGAATTCTTTAGCCTTTTTCAATTTTTCGCTAACACTATACTTAATTCCTAAGCCCTTGTCAGGGATTAATTTAAAGAGCCTGTTATACTTTGTTTTCATTTGATTTTAGTAGTTATGAGTAAGTCGCCCTGCCTAATGCTTATTACTTCCTTTAGAATCTAGTTTGGGATCCATTTTTTC